ACTTTCCCTCCACAAATACCCCCTTAAATCTGTTATCCAAACACAACTTAAAAGTTTTAAAGTTGCAAACCTCTAAACAATTTTACTTGCAGAGTTGAATTTCTGAATAATAATATGAAGTCTTGTTTTGTATCCCCCCATGGGATGAAGATACTCTCGAAGAAGTCGAAGATGAGTTCTTGGCTCCTATAGGTTCAGATCATTGTGCTCCTGTTGTTACTTTGATGCCTGAAATTGAATTGCGAAAACTTTTCAAATTCTTTAATTATTGGATGAGACCTGGGAATATCAAGCAAGTTCTTCGAACTTTTGAAAATTTGAATAGTAACATGTTCTCAAGTGTTGAGAAATGAGTCCTAAAATAAAAAGTCTATTCTTAGAGAGTTGAACAAACTGCTCTAACTTCAGCTTGAAAGTGCTTTAACTCACCATATAACGATAATGAACAAGAGGCCCTTCAGCATTATATCAATCTCTATGGTTCAGAAGAATCATTCCACAAGTAAAGTCCAGAATAAGATGACAGCTTTGAATATATATATATATATATATGGTGCAGATATATTATGTATGTCCACATATATGTATTTATGTCTTTTTCCCTTGACAATTTTATACTTGACTCCATAGTTTTTTCTTTTTTAATTTTTATTTTGGCAGGTATTATGTTCCAAGGTCCAAACTAGCATTTTTCCCTGGGAACATCTACTAAACTGAATACAGAATCTGAACTTTGTTCAAGTAATTGTGTTTCTACATCATTTATACGATCACATAACAAAACATACTCTCTCTCTCTCAAGAATGCTCTTGAAAAGTGAATATTGTTGGATCAATCTTCTGTGTAAATAAAATAACTTAAAATAATTCAAACAAAATAAAATAAAACTTACAGAATTTATTTTGTTGAACCGAATCAATAATTTAAAGACCAAGTCGAGTGTGTGACACTCTGTCCTTAAGACAGATTCGCCCAGCTACGGTGCTTACAGTTATGTGGCGTCTATCTCCCAGGATACAATGATCTTCACAAATTGTAGTAGCACTCCAAACAATTTATAAAGCTGTGAATGCCGACAGTGCATGGGATGTTAACTGCTGAAGTGTGAGCAAGTTGGATGGTGTTGGACCCCTTGCATGAGTTACTTCTTTTTTTATTTGGATAAAACAGAGACAACTAATAATAGGAATGTTCTAGAAGGATAGGAAGTTTAGCAGGCAGAGTCCATCCAAAAGATTCTTCCACTATGTTGTCAGCCTCAAATGCTAAAGCATTAACCCAACAGTTTGCTTCTCTTCTCTTCCAAGAACACCGTAAAGGATTCAAGCTGTTGCAAATTATATCAATCTCCTCCACAATGTCCCCAATGACCGAAATATCTCTTGAACAATTCTGAAGCAGAATCTTCAATGCAAAACTCTATACCACAAAGCATAGGGCTTCAATATGACCTAATCAACATCCAATACAAAAGGTTAGAAGGCAATTTTAATTTTTTACCCTAAATTTAGTGGAGATAATTTTTAATTTTCTACCCTAGAACTTAGAAGGCAAGCAAATTTGATTAATAAAAAAAATTGAAATTAGCAACCAAGCTCAAGCTCTTTTGAAGGAGAACACAAGTAAAGGACCAAACTATATCATTTCATTAACTATCATTACTTGGAAGTCATTTCATTTTTTTTTCCAGCCTAATTAAGCTATTTCATCTCATATTAAATGACTTCTTAAATAGTCTCAAAAGACAACTAGGAATTGATTATTGCAAGTTCTGCCATAAGGCCATTTTCTTACAATTAGACAAATTTCCCCTTTTGTCAAATTATTGGAACAAATAGGACCTTCTTGTAGTAAAAATATTACAAAATTTCATGTTCCTATGAGATGGAGGATTGGTGTTATATGTCAATTTTTCCAACTTTTCGAATTTTTTGATGAGAACCATTTTGACAATATTGTGTAATAACTAACATCGTTAATAAATGAAAGAATGCTGGAGTTTGCCTTGGATTTGGATTCTCAAATGTAGTCTAGCATGCAAGGAGAAAGGTTTTAAAACTTGTGATATTAAACAAATTTATTGAAGTTTCAATGATCAAAATTCTTGCTTTTGAAGAGTGTGTAGTAGGGAGGCTTTTTCAATTATAGTATGTGGAAATGACTTCTTTCTCAATTTTCTTGATATATCTCTTATTTATTTATAGGGGTGACTACCTTGGTCTAATAACTTATGGGTTCAAATCACGGTGCAATCACTTTATGCACTATGCCAAAGTTAGGTGTATACCCAATATTTTCTCTCCCAAACACACATTAATGTATTCTAATTGACTGTTTTTTTTTTAATCTCTTATTTATTTATCACTAACAAGAGTTTTCAGCATGATTGTACCAAAGTAAATCAACATATTACTTTGTAGATTCACTTAATCTACACACTTAGATACATTTCAAAAGTAAAATATTTATGAAAAATATTTTAAAACTTCACTTACATACAAAAATTAAAAATTAGTATATTTTAATTTTTTTTTCTTTTGTATTTGTTGAATTTTTAAAAAAACAATTACAAATATTTTACTTTTTAGATGCATATAGGTTAGTTACATCTAAAAAGTAAAAAATAAATATATTTTCCCCTCTAAAGATGACAAAACACAGAAAATAAAAATTAAAAACTTGTATTGTTTTTGAAAATTCAAAATCACTCAAAACCAAACAAAGTAAATGTTGTTTAGTTTAAATTTTTTTTAATAGAATTTATGGAACTTAAAGCTTTTGGAGTGACCCGTCTATAAGCTAGTGCAAATTTATTAAAATTGCCATTTTTGAAATTCAAAAAGAAAAAATCAGCTACATATGTATAAATAAATCAATTATACACTGGAAAATATACACATCTCATTGAGCCAAAACTCATTCAAGGGGCCACTCCAAAACTCATACCCCTTCATATCTACAATATATGCTCAGATCTGAAATATTAACTTCATCACTACATATATGTATTCAAATTAGAAATTTCATGCAAAATTTTCAATGAAGAAAGAGAAGATCAAAGTGAGCAAGCAGGCCTTGAAGATAATACAAATAAACATAAACACTACTATGATGAAAAAGTATAACACTTACCAGCAATGGAAGCCAAAAGAACACGACTATAATTTGAAGTTTGATTTTGCAACTAGTAGAAGATGCAGGTGCCTGCACTATACAAATAATAGTGACTAATTAATCACAAACATATACATATACATATTAGCCACCCAAAAAATTTCATCAATAATACAAAAATGACTACTTACCTAACAAACAAAAATCCAACTAATTTTAACCACCCAATAAGTTTTTTTTTTTTTTTGTCAATAATTTTTTTTTTTTTTTTTTTTTGTCAATAATAATTAAGCAACCAATCCAATTTCCAAATGAGAAGAATATGTTCTCTAACATAAGCATTGTCTAATATGAAAATGAAGTCAATAATTAACCTACAAAAATCCTGAAGGTAGAGAAAGTTGCACTTGCAATTTCAGTGAATTTAACTGTACAACAATTAATTATAACAAAAAAAATTTTAAAACTCAATTCAAAAATTATTTTTAAAACTTACAACCAAATGTACAATTCAAAACTTTTTTCGAAAGTACGAATAGGGCAATTATTCCATAAACACCTATGAATAATACAAGATAAAATAACAAATGAGGATGAAAATTATCCATTCATTATTAAGGGAAAATTAAGAGAATGAATTGAAAAGGAAAAGACAAAGAATGAATTGTAAAACAGAGTAGTGTGTTAAATTAATCAATAATAATGTATTGATAATTTCAGCATTTTCAATAAATTGGAACTCTCTTACAATTCAAAAGAAATAGATAGTGAACTCTCACTTGTGATAAAAATCTGAGATGATATTAGTAATGAGAAAATAAATAAATAAATAAATAAAAATGGTACGACAGATTTTGTGTTGGTATGTTTGTACCTTGCAGTTGGCTGCTTATTGTATATCTACTCGAGGAATGTATTGGATGATGGGCCAATATTCTTGGCCCTTTACACACTTCTGTTTCAGTATTGGAATACGTCCCCAGATCTCCAGTGACAAAAGCGAGGGAGGGAAGCCTTGTTCTGGAAAGGTCGCAAGCTCAGGGCAATGCCAGATCCTTAGCTGCAAAAGAGAAGGAGGCAACCCTTCCTTTGGAAAGGACGCGAACCTAGGGCAAAGCCCGATATTAAGTGTTTGGAGAGAGGTGAGGTTTTGAAACTCCTCATAAGAGAGTCTTTCCAGATTTGGTAAGCGTTCCATGGTCAAATTGATGAGAGAGGTGGGCAGGAACATCCCTTTTTCTGGAAAGGACACCGTATCTCCCCACGGCCAATCTGGGCCTCCAAGTCGGAGTGTTGTAAGAGAAGAGAGTTTGTGCAAACCCCACTCTAATGGAGATGGAGGCGGAAGTGGAAGTTGACCCACGTCGTCCCTTCTCAAATTCCGGATTTCAAGTGAAGTGATGTGGGTAGGGAAACTCCCTTCCTTGACAAAGTAGGAGATTCCTGCTCTGCAATCAACTAAACACAGGTTTTGAAGCGAAGTGAGTTGGTTGACGTTGTTGTTCTCATCACGACCACCAAGTGACCAGGGCTCCAGATTAGGACAACCTGTTATTCGCAATTCACTGAGATTCCTGAGATTATTGGCTTCAGGTAAAGATTTGAGTCTCTCACAAGATACGATACGAACAGTTTCAAGAGATGGACAATCAATTTTGATCCCTTCCTCTGCAAAAAGTGACTCCAGATTTGCACACCAACCAATCCGAAGTTGTTTTAGTGTGGACGGTAGCCCACCTCTTGACAATAAATATGTGAGTGATTTACAGCTAAAAACATGCAACTCTAGTAGATTATTGAGTGTCATCAACTCGGGTACGGACTCCAAAGCATCACACCTTGAAACGCTAAGTTCTCTCAGTCTAGATGGAAAACCTTTTATTGGAAAAGAGATCAGACTTGCACAACCATCGATTCTAAGCACCCCAAGAGATGTGTATGTGTGCAGATCTTGTGGCAGTTTCTTCAGCATTCCACACTCTTCAATTGTTAAATACTCCAGTCTCGTCATGCAAGGCAGCCCCTCATGTTACTGCTTTTTCGAAACTTCTCCTTCTTTTTCTTGCTCTTCTTCAAACAAGCAAACCAGTTTGGGGCAATTAAAAACCTCCAAATGGCAGAGGGAAGGGAGACATACTTGCATTCTCACCTTGTTCCGCCACAATGTTATGAGTTCTTGGCAGCTACTAATGTTCAATTTCTCAAGTCCCATTAAATCTCGAGTGAACCATGTCGGTAGGAACGCCAGTTTTTCAACATGAGAAATGCTTAAAGCAGTTATTGAAGTCAGATGCTTAGACATTTCATTAGCCAGTAACTCTTCATCAGTTGTGCTTGGATCGCAAAGGGAGTCAAGAACTGTAACATGGCTAATATCCAAGGTGAGAGAACCAATTTCAATCGTGTTCTTCGTCCCTAAGAGTGCTGGAAGGCTTGGGAGCATAACATTATTCATTGACAAGGATGCAATTGATGGCTGAACAAGGCTCGAAACATCAATCAACAATTGCGGACAACCATCAATTTTGAGAGAATTGAGACAAGGAAGATCATTTGGTAATCTTCCAACAAGTTTGGGACAATTTATGATGGAAAGCTCACTGAGATGACCGAACGACTGAACTCCCTCTGTTTCAAAAGCAGACCAATCCTCCCATTCTGGCATAAACTCAAAGCTCAGTCTCTCTAGAGAGGGGAAAGGTTTGTTACCACACTGCTGCCCAGAGAACTCACAACCCAAGCGCTTTATTGCACTCATTCCTTCAATGTAAAGGTCTTTAAGCAAGGGTAGTTGTCCAAGTGGTGGCAAAGATGTGCAACATTTGCTACCTTTTAATCGCATGAACACCATTTTGGAGAACGAAACATCTCCAACCCAGTTTGGAAATTTTGTACTGCCATACCCACTAATGGTGAGTCGTTCCAAAAATATGAAAGGTCTTATCACATCAAGCACATCCCTCTCTACTATGTCATTCTGTGAACTACGAGATTCATCCCATTCTAGTGATAACTCTTTTAACTCCTTAGACGTTAAATTGGCATCCCTTGTATCCTTAACACCATTGACATTCTCTAGTCTTGATATGTGTGTTGCCCCTCGAATGTGTGATAGGTTTTTCAACTCTCCTATTTTACGCCCGCAAGCTTTACCCACTATAAAATTTGACAATGTTTGGAGATTAGTTAATTTACCTATATGTAGTGGCATCTCTTCTGATGATGGAATATGCACACCAGTCATGTCAAAATGGCGCAAGTTCACCAGACTCTCCACGTTTAGAGGCAACTTCTGAAGTTTACGACAATATTTCAAAAGCAAGACTTGTAAATTGTAGAGAGTTACCACTGTGTCAGGTAATCTTGTAATCCCAGAATTGGATAAATCAAGGTACCGCAAATGCTTTAGATCTCCAATGGAATCTGGTAGCTCATTTATCCCAATACTACACAAACGCAACTCATGCAAGCATTTTAACTTTGGCAACAAATCATGCATCAAGTACTTCGTTACAAAGTGAAATTGTTGTGGCAAAAATTCTAAGAATGTTCGTAAGCATTTGGCATCATCGAAAGCTTTAAATTTTTTGATTCCATCATAACGGCTAGCAACATAAGATGCATGGCGTGCTTTGTCCGAAATCTTGTTCTGCCTGCCACCCTCTAAATTATTTTCCAACCTAAAACATTTGTTCCCTGCAACATCTTGAGCCAAATCATTGATGAGGTCATGCATTATGAATTGCGATTTGTTACCACTTGACGGTTGAAAAAATGATCTTGACACCAATTCCTGAAAATACTTGCGGCCTAAATCTTCCATTTGGTCTCCACCATTTGGTTTCTCAATTAAACCTTCAGCCATCCATAGCAAGACTAATTCCTCCTCCATGAATTCGTAGTCCTTTGGGATAATTGCACAGTAGGAAAAGCACCTCTTCAAATGGACAGGGAGATGAAGGTAGCTCAATTTCAATGCTGTGAGCGTGACACTTTCCTCATTCCATATATTGCTGTTTAGTATCTCTTTCCATTCATGTTCTTCTTGTTTACAACATAATAAGCTGCCAAGGGCCCTCGCTGCCAAGGGTAAGCCTCTGCACCTGTTCTCAACAATTTTCTTACCAATCGGTACCAATTTTGGGCATTCCATGATATTTCTATTCTCAAATGCATGTTGGGCAAAGATTAACCAACAATCGTCATGTAATAAGTTGTGTAAATTGTGATATTTATCCATTCCCATCTGCTTTGCAACACCTCTGTCTCGTGTTGTCACAATGATTTTACTTCCAGGTGCTCCAGCTCCAAATGGGGATCGTAACAAATTCCACCCATCACGTCCATAGTCCCACACATCATCTAGGACAAGCAAAAACTTTTTCCCCGCCAACGTTTTGCTAAGTTGAACTTGCACCTCATTTAAGTTACTAAAAGTACATGAACCTTGAGTGAACGACTCGAGAATTGCCTTTGTTATTCTCATAACTTCGAAATCATCAGATACACATGCCCATTCTTTTAGATTGAAATGGTTTTCCACTCTGTCGTCATTGTAAATGTGCTGAGCTAGTGTAGTCTTGCCGATCCCACCCATTCCTACAATAGGAATTACATCAAAAAAATTTCCAGTAGGTGCATCCCCAAGTAGCAATTCCATAATTTGCTTGATGGCTTCATCTCTGCCATGAATGTGAGGCTCCCTCAAACATGTAGTTTGTGATCTCTGCCGTAAATCTGTAGACATCCTCCCAACAAGTCTTTTATCTAAACCAAGATCTTTTCCTTTTGTAGCAACTTCTTGTAATTGACTAGTAATCTCATTTAGCTTTGACCCAGTTTTTAAATTGAATGGAACAATAGAAGAGAGACGTGGAAACTTAGCTGGTCTTCTTCCCATTGTCGTCTCCTCCGCCATTAGCTTCCTTTCGAGAGCTTCAGTGGCAAAGTCATCCAATAAGTCATCTGCGTCATAAGCCAAAGGTTGAACCTCTTCTAGCCACTTTTTGATATCCTTGTCGTACACTTGTTTGTTCTCTGCATCAGCTAACAAAGTCTCTAAATCCTCTAATGCCTTCTTCAGATTCTGGATGCCAGTGCCAGCGTCGGCTGTGCTCACTAAGTTGCCAAAATAAGAGGACAATTTATCAACCATAGCTTGTACGAATGGAGAGATAAAGATCCCAAATACATCCATGGTGTTTGTTCTGAAAGAGGGAAAGGTAATGAAACCAAGCAACACAGATATCAAGAACAGACTGACGAACCTCTACAAACTTGGAATAGACTTTGGTGGTAAAGGTCAGAAATTGAGTCAATGAAGCAATACACAGATCAAGAACAGGCAGAACCTCTACAAACTTGGAACAACTTTGGCAGATAAAATATATGGAAGGTAAGAAACGAAGCAATACAGAGATCAAAAACAGAATTAAACTCTGCAAACTTCAAACAACTTTGGAATTGTAAAGGATCTGAAAAGTTAGAAACTCATCAAAAACAAAGCAATACAAAGATAAAAGAAACAACCAGTTCGAAGAAGCTCTGCAAATGTGTAGTAGCTGAAGAGTGTAAGTTGTGACCAAAAGCAAATGAGGAATTGGTGAAAGAAGGGGCATGAAGAAATTAGAAGTCAACTATAAGAAATTGAGATAGATTGAGAGAGCAAATATTAGCTCTGTGTTTTTGATATGTATTGCAACCAAATGGAGCCTCCATTATATAGGAGATGTTTTACAAGACAAAATGATGAACCAATGAAATATACAAATGAAAGCAAAAGGAAAATAAGGTGTAAAGAAGATGTCTATCTGCCAACAACTATTGCTAGGCTAGCAACAACGAGCTACAGATCAATTACAGATCACTAGAGTATTAAATTATAGGTATAGTATTAACATCAACAATAATGGGGCCTCATCTCATTGGCCATTTTTCCAGTTTGTTTGCTACCTACTTTTTTATTAATTTCTCTGTATAATTGGTGGATGTGATCAGGAAGAGATATGAATAGAGAGAGAGGCCGGCCTTTATGAATAATGTTTAATATTGCTGAATTTTCATTCTCGTTGGACTTCTTGGTTTCTAGCCTTTTTTTTTTTTAATTTTTATTTTAAAAATCATTTTCTAGTTCTTTTATGGATTAGGTACAAATGTAAGTGTATGATAAAGCATAGGTTCACTAACCATTTATATTCCATCACAAGTGCCTCTATAATAATCAAATTTCTAAAAAATTAGACATTTAAAAGTTAGCAACTTCACTAGATTTGAGCTGTGTGGTCCCGGTGTTTTGATCCAATAATTTATTAGTCACCTCACCTAGTAGCTTATTAAAAACTTAATTAACAGTTTTACCATTTTGTTTCAAGAAAGGTACATATTCACACGTATATACATCTCAAATTGTCAATCTTTTTCAGTACCAAAAATATGCAAACCAACTTGACAAAAATGAGCAGCTGCAGTGTTTTTCAATACCCTCTAATAAGTATCCTCTTTCAACCCCACAATGTGCAGAGGTCATATACAACACAATACAACACACTCACCCTACCCAAACAAAATGTCTCCTTATTCACACTGATGCATTAATTTCAATTGAAGGAGTAGTAGCATTCACTGAGATCTCATTTCTAGTCAAACTGTAAAAGGTATCTTCAGACGCTGCAATGGCTTTAGTGCCACCCAAACAAAGGCCACAAGTTCGGATCACTGCACACAATAGTGGGAAGAAATTAGAAGAGATAAATGAGATTAAGGCTTTGGATATATATATATATATATATGGTATGGATATATTATGTATGTCCACATATATGTATTTCCGTCTTTTTCCTTTTGAAAATCCCTTGTCTAAAAGAACATTTTAGACTTGACTCCATAGTTTTTTGATTTTGGAAGGTATTATGTCGAAGGGCCTAACTAGCACTATGCCTCAGAACATCTACTTATCTGAAAAAAGAATGAGAACTTTGTTCAAGTAATTGCACTTCTACATCATTTATATAACTAAGTAACAAAACATACTCTCTCTAAAGAATGCTCTTGAAAAGTAAATTCTGATAAATCAGCCACCTAACCAGCTACAAATGAAGATGTGTGTCATGGGACTTAACTCTTTTTTTAAAAATAAAAATAAAAATAAAAAACCAAAATCAAAACCAAAACCATGAATTAAGGGTATAAGCATGATTATAATGAAAGAAGTCAATAGTGGCATCTCATTTCACTCAGTGGTCCATTTTCCAACCAGGTTTTGCTACTTTTTTACTCATATCTCTATCTGTACTTCAATGGCAGCTAGCAGGAGTGGAAAAAATAAAATTAAAAAAGCTGTTAGAGAAGTCAATAATGGAATCTCAGCTCATTTTCAGTGGCTCATTTTCCAATCAGGTTTGCTACTCATTATTTACTCATATGTGTACTTCAATGACAACTTGCAGGACTAATGAAAATTAATTAAAAATAAAAAGAGCTGTTAGAGAATCTTTGAGGAGTTCAGATCCTCTGTAGTGTTTCATTCTGTAGTGTTTGTGTAGTGTACCAAAATGATGCCGTTTTGGTGGAAAAAATAAAAAATAAAAAAACAACGAGAGCTCCTTCTTCCCCTTCCCAATCAGCCACCGTGACCACCTCCTGTCCATGGTGATTGGCTATCAATCACTGCACTGCTTTGCTGCTGCATAGGCTAATTGGCATTCCAATCATGTGCACCTGTACCATACACCTGTTGCGTGGCGTCTTTTGGTTGGATGTTCCATATGCTTTGGCCATGTGGCACTTTGTGATTAGCTGAAATGTTTCCTAGCCAAAATCTCATTGTATGAGTGATTAAATTCGACGGGAACATGTTTCTCAAGGTCTTTGGTCATTCCGGATTCAATGATGAGCTCCATTTCTACAAATTCTGAATATTTTTGTGAGTATTAAAAAAAATAGAATAAAATAATAAAAAATAAAGATATTAAAATAAAATCCTTACCACCCTTATTAAAATTGGGGGAAAATGGGATGTCAACCATAACCAAACAGTTGAAAAAAGTTTTAAACCAACTTATATTATATATTATTATTATATTAAGCTAACATCTCATTTTTGTGTGAACACAAAAGGAAGCTATATGTAACGCAATTTTAAAAACCAAAATTGTATAAGGAGGGGGTGAAAAAATTACATTTTAACAAGTGCGATAATTTTAACTTTCATTAATTGGAAGGGCAAAAAAGAAAAAAATCTCACACTACATGTTTGTAGAATTGCTTCGGTTTTGAGGTTGTTAATCTTTCATTCAGTTACTGAAACAACTCTGATGTCATGTATTGACAATTATAATATATTTTCTTCAAAACTATATCAATATACACTTGCAACATGCATTGCGTGTGCCACGAGTCTCTTATAATAGTGTGTATATATATATATATATATGTATTTTGTGGTATCAAGAGGTTGGGCTGATTTGTATTCATTTATGATTTCTGCCTCATATTCTACACTATGCAATTTATACTTGACTTTTTCCCTTGACATATATGTATTTATGTCTTTTTCCCTTGACAATTTTATACTTGACTCCATAGTTTTTTTTTTTAATTTTTATTTTGGCAGGTATTATGTTCCAAGGTCCAAACTAGCATTTTGTCCTGGGAACATCTACTAAACTGAATACATAATCTGAACTTTGTTCAAGTAATTGTGCTTCTACATCATTTATACGATCACATAACAAAACATACTCTCTCTCAAGAATGCTCTTGAAAAGAGAATACCATGTGAACACTCAATTAGGCCATGTGGCACAGAGTAGAAGAAAGTTCAATTCTAATAAATCAGCAACCTAACCACCTATAAATGAAGATGTGTATCTAAGGACTTAAAACAAGGCTCAGGACTTCTTCTTTCATATGTATTCATTTTCTTTCATTAAAGAAACTGCTACACTGCCAAAAAAACAGCACTAATTTGCCCATAATGTACAAGTTAATAGCTGAAATAATTGATTGGTGGGATGTCTAATGGACTAGAGAATTGGATAAAACAGAAATTGTGCTGATTTAGCAATAATAAGATCAAATAGCTACAACTCCAATTGTTAATAAAGGCAGTAAGCAATAAAATACATTAGAAGCATCCTGGTTTCTATTAGAAGAAATCAACTATCTGATTACATTCCGTAACTTGGAGTGCCCAAGAAATTGTAATAAAGCTGTGAATGCTGACAGTGCATGGGATGTTAACTGCTGAAGTGTGAGCAAGTTGGATGGTGTTGGACCCCTTGCATGAGTTACTTCTTTTTTTATTTGGATAAAACAGAGACAGCTAATAATAGGAATGTTCTAGAAGGATAGGAAGTTTAGCAGGCAGAGTCCATCCAAAAGATTCATCCACTATGTTGTCAGCCTCAAATGATAAAGCATTAACCCAACAGTTTGCTTCTCTTCTCTTCCAAGAACACCATATAGGATTCAAGCTGTTGCAAATTATATTAATCTCCTCCACACTGTCTCCAATAACTGAAATATCTCCTTGTTAGGTTTTATTCTTGGCAATCCCGTTTGACAAAACTCCTTTCAGTTGTATTTATTTTCACACTTTTATTTCAGTGAGCCTATGAGTGTTTAGATGCGAATCCAACCCGAATCAAGCCTTTCAGAGAAGTTTGTCACGCCCCAAGCTCCGTGACAACGCCGCACACTCATTCAAGTGAGCATGCAAGGTTAAGAGTCCAACACATAACCAACAATGTAAAATACTCAAATTAAATCCTTAAATATCATAATGCTAAAAACCATACAAATAGATAATTCTTATCATATGAAATTGTCCACCAAGTCCACTAATAATAATAATAATAATAATGATCCAAGTATTTAAATCATAGTCCTACTCTCGGCACTCCTACAAGTAAAAACCCCGCACAGCTCTACTCCTTGGAATCTGAAAAATAAAATAAGGGTAAACTAGACAGCCTAGTAAATAACCAACCATCACTGTTTGCTGGATCAAGTATACAAAAAAATAGTCGATAACCAATAAATATATTTTTTGCTGCCATTCAAAAAATGAACAATTATTTTGTAAGATGGTTTCGTAGCTGAAAATAAACAGTGTAGCAATACATTTTAATTGAAAAGACAATGAGGTAATTCGATGAAATTTCGTTGTTCAAAATTGATGGTTCGATATTCAAATGGTTCGATGATGCAATTTACAAAACCCAAGTCTTGGTGACTACGGCC